TTTTGGCCCACCCTGTATATATACAAGAGCTTGGAGGAGGAAAGAATTCACTGGAAGATAATAGAGAGAGAAAACATACATGGTCAGGATGCATTCGAACGTACATATATGCACTCAAATGTGATCACAGAACGAAAGAAGACATAGATGGAATACATATACATGACGTCATGATAATAAGAGAAAGAAAGAGATGAAGTTCAAATGACGTCACAACCCAAGAAAACAGTATAGGACTGATAGGCCGTTTCTCACAAATGAATACGTACCTTCACTTTTTTATATGTTCTTTCATTTCGGATTAGTCGAGTCAGTAGAAGGAAAGATAGAAAGAAATCTTTCCACTGACCTTAAAAAGTGAAAGCTGTGTAAGAGATGTGAAACGAACCATAAATTGGATAAGTTGGCATTGATGAGCTATAAAAATTTTACTCTCTTAGCAGAATCAAAGGATCATGTCAGCTAATCATGAAAAATTTTCCAAGTTATAGCAACCCTTAGCTAAAATATGCAGAAAAATAAAATATAGTGAAACATGCTTAGAATACTTGTAACTTCGCAATTCAATATCTCAATGAAAACTCAATCTTCGGACAAACCATTTGAGATTTGTTCTAGTCTATGTGTCCCTTACCACTGGGCAAAACATGGGCTCTAAAGCTTTTAATCACTTGGAGATCTTCCCTCGTTAGAAATACTACCTCCCTATTCCAGGTAAGCATTTGTTGTCATCATCATAAGGCATTATTCGAGTATATTTAGATTTGTCACCGATTCACATATATGGTCAGCTAAAACAATAGAGTAACGCAAAGAAATTATTGAAAATTAGTACAATTATGTCCCTGCATCCGCGAAACCGAGACGTAGTCTCAATATTTCTCCTATGACAGGAAGGAAACCAGGTCGATCAAATGTTCGTGGATCATCAACAACAACAGGAAAAAAGCAATAATTATTATAAACAGCTTTACTAATTTTATAACTTTTACTATCAGCGTGACAATGTTTAGTATCTATTCTCGCATCTATATACCAATATCTTCGCATATGGAACTTCCGCATAATTTCAATCGCTTTAACCAACAGCAAATAATAATCAGTGAAATCGAAAAGAACCACCACTTACCTTTGAAATAATTTTGCTTTTCGAATAATTTGTAGTTGATAATAATGATTGTTGATAAATATCAATGATCAATATAAAGATTGCATATGAGATAGTACTATTGTATCAATTTTTATCATGTTGAATATACTTAAGTCTTTCACTTTTTTCTTTCGCTATTTTGGTGGAAGAACTTCACATGTAAGTACTTTCAATTCTAGGGAACTGTACATGAAAACAAATTATATATTTTATTAATGTTGTATAACACAAATGGACTGCTAGTCTGATTTTAGAACAATTGTTCTCGAATTTTCATTATCTATTTAAGAATCTTTTTCATCGTTGTACAGTGTTTCTTGAGTAAAATACATACTAAGATATTTCGAATCATCATATATCTCAGAAATTGAATTATAGTTTTATCGCGCTGTTGTCAAATTTAATTCGAATCTTTTAAATTGTTTATATGATCTAAATCAATATTCCCAAATACTTTAATGTATTTTTTCTGGTTTTCACGTATTTTGACTTATTTTACGCGTATATGAATGCATCCTGCTTGTTTTTTGAGAAAAAATCTCCTGAAAAGTTTTTCGGGGTGGCACATATTTGTATCAGAATGTAGATTATAGAGTTCTTTGGGTGTTTGTCAAGATAAGTTGGGGTGTTTGTGTGGATTTTAAGGAAGATTTCAGGTGTTAATATGTACCTACGTCTATATTTTAGTCCGTGTTGCATGTTTCCTGAGAAAATTTTCTGAAGAAAAGTTTTTCGAACGTAGCACATATTCGTATGAGAATGTAGGTTATAGAGTTCTGTGGGTGTTTCTCAAGACAACTTGGGGTGCTTGGGTGGACTATAAGTGAGATTTTGGGTGTTAGTGTTGAAGGGGGTCATTTTTTGGTCTTTGTTGACGGTTTAGTTTTTCTAGGAGTCGGACAAAGTAGGTGTTAGTGGATGTTTGTGCACATAACTCTCCAAGTTGTGGGTGTTAGTGAAGATGACCCATATGCGTTTTTATAAAGTTGGCTGTTTATGGTGTTAGCATAAATTAGTAATACCCTTGCAGATAGTGTTCACGAAGAACAGTCATACGATTTACGCGCTGCTTTGTTTTCTCGAATATTTTTTTTGAATTTTTCGAGAGTTTGGAATCACTTGCAGATGCGACAATGTTTTCGCTCTCCTGAGAAAACATCTCAGATCAACTACTTATAAATTGTGTATAACATTCTTCAGTTGCTTTATTCCAGTGATGGTGCAATTTTTCGGAAATCCACTAGCGATGGATAAATGAATCTCCGGTTCTTGCAATCACATCATCGCGTATCTCACGATATCTGATTACAACTAATTCTATTCAAAACTCGTGATTCTTCTGAGTCGTGAAGAAGGCCGCCCATTTTGATTCGCTAAATTGATGTGTGGCATGCTTGCCTCAACTTAACAAATATTTAAT